GAGGCTAGCATGGACAACGCATCAACGATGCAATTCTCTATCCTCAGGACGTGTTTAAATGTGATCTCATCAAAGTATTCGATCATTTCAATAATGTATGCTCTATACGGGATCAGTTTCTCATATCTGGTCTCCCATTCACCTTTGACTTGATAAATCACCAAGGCTGAGTCACCACTTACTTCATGAGTTTTGATTCGAAGGTCAATTGCTGCTTCGAGGCCTAGAATGCAAGCTTCATACTCGACAATATTGTTGGTATACTCAAAATATAATCTGGCTATGAACAAAGTGTAACCACCATCTGGATTCATCAAAATGGCGCCTATACCATGCCCATTATAGTTGGAGGAACCACCGAACATCATCTTCCAATGGGAGCCAGGTTCAGGACTATCATCTGGCCCTGAATCTTCATAATCCTTCTTTATCAACATGATGTCTTCATCGGGAAAGTTAAACTTCAGCGATTCATAGTCTTCTACTGGATGATCTGCAAGGTAATCTGACAAGATGCTACCCTTGATAGACTTTTGAGCAATATACTAGATGTCATATTCTGCTAATAACATATGCCAATAGGCGAGTCTTCCTGTCTGAGTGGGCTTCTCAAAGATATACTTTATCAGATCCATTCTTGAAATCAGTAAAGTAGTATGACATATCATATATTGCCTCAAACTCCTAACAACCCATGCCAAAGCATAACAAGTCTTCTCTAAAAGTGAATATTGGCTTTCAAAGTCAGTGAACTTTTTACTCAAATAGTAAATGGCGTGCTCTTTACGTCCATACTCATCTTGTTGACCAAATACACATCTCATTGATTCCTCAAGCACAGTTAAGTACACGAGCATATGTTTTTCGGGAACAGGAGGAATTAGGATTGGAGGTTCTTGAAGATAACCCTTGATCTTATCAAAAGCTTGCTGACAATCCGAATTCCAAACAACCGTTTGATCCTTGCGTAACAGCTTGAAAATTGGCTCCCAGGTAGGAGTCATATTGGAAATAAATCTGGAGATATAATTCAATCTTCCAAGGAAACTTATAACTTGCTTCTCAGTCTATAAAGCTGGTATTTGTTGAATGGCTCTAACCTTGTCAGGATCCACCTCAATCCCTTGTTGACTAACAATGAAACCAAGCAGCTTCCCAGATCTCACTCCAAAAGTGCACTTGGCAGGATTCAACCTTAACTGATATTTCCTAAGTCTCTCAAATAACTTCAAAAGATGATCTATATGGTCTTCTTCACTCTGAGATTTGGTGTCATCGACATACACTTCTATCTCCTTGTGCATCATGTCATGGATCAATGCAACCATAGCTCTTTAATAAGTGGCACCAACATTCTTCAGACCAAAAGGCATGACTTTATAATAATAAGTCCCCCAAAGAGTGATAAAAGTAGTTGTTTCCATATCCTCTGGGTCCATTTTCATTTGGTTGTAGCCAGAAAAACCATCCATAAATGAGAATAGTGCAAAACGAGCCGTGTTGTCTACCAAAGTATCAATATGTGGCAAAGGGAAATCATCCTTCGAACTAGCCTTGTTCAGATCCCTATAATCAATGCACATTCTGACTTTTCCATCTTTCTTTGGCACGGGTACAATATTGGCCACCCATTCTGGATATTTGGCCACTGCCAAGAAACCTGCATCAATTTGCTTTTTGACCTCATCTCGAATCTTGAGAGCCATATAAAGCCTAGTCCTTCGGAGCTTCTGTTTGATAGGCGGACATTCTGGTCAAAGCGGTAATTTATGAACCACTATGTCAGTGTCGAAACCAGGCATATCTTGATATGACCAAGCAAATACATCAACATACTCTTCTAAAAGCTTCACCAGTTGTTCCTTGATCTCTGTCCCAAGTGTTGCCCCAATCTTGACCTCCTTCTTGTCTTCTTCAGTGCCAAGGTTAATAACATCCACTTACTATTGGTGAGGTTGAAGTTTTGTGCACTCATACTCTGCCATCTTTTCCAGTTCATCCAGAATCTCAAAATCTTCATCCTCACCTTCAGCTTGGTCTATGGGTGAGTCAAAGTCAGGAGGAAAAACAAAGTCATCGAATCCAACGGGTTTTGGGGTTTCTCTGCATGTTTGGAATTGCTTAATTATTAAAACACACAAAGACAAATGCAATGAAAAGAAAAGAGAGAAATATTTTAGTTTTTCTTTCTTAAAATATTGCCATTTTCTTTAAAAGTAAAAGAAGAAAAAAACAGTAAATGAAACAAAATGAGGAGTTTAACAAAACATCTTCATTAATCATAATAACTTGAAAGCATGGGGCCCTACAAAATGATCCTATAGCCTTGGGCACGACTACAGAAGTATGAAAACACCAAAACAAAAGAGAACGACAATAAATTACTTCAGCATAGGAATGATAACAGGAATCTCAACAGCTTCCCAATTTTCCAAGGCAGCTTTGCAATGATACACCAAATGATAAACACTTTCTTCTTCAAAATCCTCATCAACAACATTGATTTGGAAACCCCCACTGATAAATACCTCTTGAGTAGTCTTTGGGCGTCCCTTGGCTGAAGTTGACGTCTTATCATGAGTTGGTTTGTAACCCAACCCTTGGCGACCCAATCTTGTTTTCACTTTGATTATCTCTCCCCAACCTTCAGAAGTACCTTCTTTCTACGTGGACTTCATGCTTTGAGCAGACACAAAAGATGGACCACTTTTAACTACTATTTCTTCTATCAACACAATATTGGCTATCTCGAGCGCTTGAAAAGAAGTTTCTAGCGCATCCTCATCTGCCTCGACGTACCTAAATGATGACAAGTTACTCACCATCAAGTCTTCATCATCATGCACAATTACCAATTTATCACCCACAACAAATTTCATCCTCTGATGTAAAGTAGAAGTCACTGCACTAGATGAGTGAATCCATGGTTGTCTCAACAAGTAGCTATAAGCTGGATTGATGTCCATCACTTGAAACGTGATGTCAAATACATGAGGACCTATCATAACTAGCAACTCTACCTCCCCAAAAACAGTCCTTATTGAACCATCAAAAGTTTTAACAATCAACGATGTTGGACGCATATCTGCCCCTTTGTATTCTATTTTGGTAAGTGTTCTTTTGGGCAACACATTCAGAGAAGAGCCAGTATCAACCAAAACTTATGCCAAAGCGTCTTCCTGACATCTAACAGATACGTGCAACACACGATTGTGATTGCATCCTTCTCTTGGAAACTCCTTGTTGCTGAAGCTTAAAGTATTGCAAGAAGTAATGTTGACGATCACAAAATCAAATTAACTAATTGCTATATATTTCGCCACATGCGCCTGTGTTAACATTTTCTTCAAGGTTTCCCTATGAGCGGGAGAATTCATTAGGAGAGACAAGATTCAGATTTTTGAAGGAGTTTGATGAAGCTGATCGACGACTTTGTAATCACTCTTTCGAATAATTCTCAGAAACTCCATGTCTTCTTCGCTTGGTGACACTTCTTTGTCCTTGGTAGCCACAACAGGAATGACCTCTTTTTGGGGGACCACCGTAATCTTACGTTGATAGATCCGACCACTGCGGGTCATTTTAAAGTTCCTGCAATATTTGTCACATCTGCTTGATTACCCTTTGTTTCTTCATTCTGAATGACTTTTCCTGATCCTTGATCCATCACCGTCATATCATACCTCTAAGGGATAACTTTTGTACTCTCAAAATGGAAAGGACTTGGCTTTTGAATTATAATCGGTCTGGGCTGACCAATTGCTGATGTAATAGGCTTGGAGATATTGAAAATATGTTTAATATTTTTGAAGACTGGAACCACTGAACCAGAATCGGGCATATTAAATACGGGGACCTTTTCACTGTTCTTTGGTAAGTTAAAAACAGGCTCAATCACTGAAACTTCCTCCCTTTCCATCTTGCTACATACTTGCAGAAATCTGTCATCAATTAATTTTTGCACATTCCTTTGAACCACACAACATCCTTTGGGATCAACAAAACATTTTTCGCAATCAGCATGGAGACCTTCAATCATACCTGCCTTTAATTATTTTTCATGAAGAAATCGCAATGGAGTTTTGATCTCTGATGCATCACAGATTATCCATTCATCTGATGCCTCCTCTATGGCATGAATCCCCCCATGGTTCGACAACAGATTGTTCTTTACATTGGGTTGCACATCATCAAAAGACAAGATTTTATTTTACATAAGTTCTCTGACAAGATGTTTCAGAGCAAGACACCCCTCTAAATAATGTTCAGCAGCACCCTCGTGAAATAAAAAACGAGCATTAGGATTATAATGAGGAGACGAGGTGTCTGATGGTAGTCCTAACAATCGAGTCGTAGTCAGCTCTTGTTGTTCTAAGGATGAATACAACTCAATATAGGTCATTGAGATCAGAGAAATGGGAGGCCTTCCTGCTAGTACAAAAAATTTTCTTCCTAAAATATGACATCTTTATATTTTCTAAAAAGTTTACTTTAAGAGATAAGAAGTGAAAATGAATCAACATTAATAAAAAAATTTACTTTATGACATCTTCATATTTTTCTTCGTATAAAATTTAAATTCTTTGGAATTGTTTTACACTTTCTTTTATTTTTGAATAAATTATTAGTTTTTTTAAAAAAAAGAAGTGAGTCTTGCATAACATTATTAAGGGAGATACTTTCAATATTTTTTTTTAATTTAATTTTCACAAACTGCATAAATTATTAACAATTTGATATGATTAATTAAATTAAGTAACTTTTTTATTTTTATAAATTAAGAATAATCATTGTATAACACTGTTTTGTATGATGGTGAATATTGTGTATGTATCTTCAAAATAAAAGGACCATTGTATAATTCATGACTATTAATGTCATGACAAAAATGAGTTCTTTGATCATAGCTTCTTGTGCATGAGGTTAATTAAGTTACACTTGACAACAAATTTATAATTAAAATTACATAATCTGAAAAAGAATCCAAAGTACCAAATTAATTAAGTAACCCTAATTGGGCCTAGAAGAAATGGGCCAGCTGGAGAGGGTTGATTAGCCTTAGGGGGTGCAACAGCAAGTGTAAGGTCCAAATTAGGCACTGCTACATAATTTGAAGAATGATGATTATGTAGCCAATTAGCTTTAGAGTAATTAATTTCTTGATTATCTAATTTGGCTTCTTCTTCTTCTTCTTTTTCAACTTCACATTTACACTTTGTATCCTCTAATTTATTACTTTGTCCTTCTCTTTTGGTGTTCTTGCTCCCAACCTGTAGTAGCCATTTCATATCAATTTAATCACAAGCTAATAATGAAAATAATGATTAATGAATTGGATTAGTGTATAATATTAATCAATAATCATGTATATATACCAAGTCAAAGAGACTTGATCGCCGTTTCTTGTTCTTCAGCGATGCTAATCGTAAAAAGTATTTTTGAGCATGACTTGCGACTTGTGTAGGAGTTCTTGTGGTGACAAAGTTTTTAGAGATACCTCTCCAGTCTCCTTTTCCAAGATTCTCTAATCCAACGAGAAATATTCTATGCTCTTCTTCTGTCCATGGAACTCCTGAATGTTATACGATTAAAACAACAAAAAATATATCATATACGTCAATTATTCAATAAACCTAAAATGAATACAGTCGTACCTTTCTTCCTTTCTTGGGGTGTACCTATAAAACAATCTGAAAGGTAGGCAAGATTAGAAGTGTATTTGTGATGATGACGGTTATCATGAATGGTTGATGAAGAGAATGAAGAAGATGAAGAGGATGGTGAGGGAAAAGTGTCCATGCTAAAGCTTTTCTTGATGATGGTACTAGATGATGATAATGATGATGAGGATAGTTGGACACCAAAGAGACGAAGACCTATAAACTTTGTGGTGAAGGAGGTGCATGTCCTACAATTATGTCCTATTTTACCACAATGTGAACACTTTCTTCTTCCCATTGTTGCAAACCAAAAAGAGAAAGAGAAAAGGAATTGGTTTGGTGGTATATATGATATGATGAAGAGAGAGTGAGATGTGGGGTTAATGAATTAAATAATGGAAATGGAAATGGAAATATATGGTCGCATATTCAAGCTACTTAATTGGACGGACATATTTTTATTTTTAAATTTGTTGGATATTTTTTGTTATAAATAATCATAGGGACACCAATTCCTTATCTTATTAGTTTTGAGGATTTGTGTCCTATGGGCCTATTCATCGTGCATTTGGATCTGCCTGCAAATTATTCAATTTTATAGTATACTCTTTTTATATTTAAAACTTTGTAAATGGTACTAATGACAAGAGAGAAAATATAATATACTAAAACCTCACATAATTTAGTACATTTATTTGAAATTTAAGAATGGTCTGATCCACCAATAGAATTGGAGAATTTAATCTGCCACCTCTAAATTATATTTGAAAATTTTTAATTTTTATATTTTTAAAATTATTTTTGGCTGAAAAAAAATTAAAATTTTGTATGAAATTTCTGGTAGTTATATCGAAAATTTCGATATTAAATAAAATTTTTAGTAGTGTATTTGAAATTTCCGATAAGTGTACTTCAACAAAGCTTCTCTTCCTGTGGAGTTTCGACTTCCGAATGAGACCACATGTCTTGTCGATATGACGTCGAAGTTGAATGAATTGTTTCCTGATGTCGAAAACAGAAAGGTGAGAAACGTCGAGTTTCATGAAGATTGGATTGATACTAACGGGAGGGTGAAATACAACCTTATTGAGTTGAAGATCGACGGAGATGTGAAGGAAATGTGGAGATTATTTCGTCGTAGAATAACAAAGGGGTCGATCAAGTTAGATGTTAAGTTTTTAAAATCTGTTGATGACATAATGGAGATGCTGAAACGTCCAGAAGAGTCTGGTAGTGTTTAAGTTTTTCTTATTTGTTAATAATATTGTAGTATTAAGTTTTTTGTTTAGATTTTTCTTATTTGTTAATCATATTGTAGTATTAAGTTTTTTCTATATACGTTATGTAATTCATTGTCATATATTAGTTAATGTTCACGTTGCAATTCAAGGAAGATCAATAATATTAGCAAATAAAGAGTTATGATGAAGATGTCTGAATAATATATAAATGATACAAAAGATATCTAAATAGGACCCCCACAGACTATGTGTGTAGCCCGAGATAATCCAGTATAAACCTCGTCATCTGGGTTTACCAAACCCATGAGGTTATCCATAATAACTGCAATCATCTAGAGGCGCTGTTGGTTATCAGTGTGATCTGCTAGAGGAGGCGACGACATGTCATCAACAGGTACCCCGTCACCAGAAGGCCCAACAACACCTGTAGGTGGGGTGATGCGAGGGTGTGATACAATGAGGTACCACTCTAAGTAACCATCCTCACACTACGAGGGGTGCTGAATAATGACTGCTTGATCTCTAATGGCACGACCAAAACTGATGAAGTTACTCTGAAACCACCAATAAATACCTGAAGATGGTATATCCGAAACTGGCAGTGAGATACTCTAAACATAAAAGGTCACATAAAAGGAATATACCTCGCACTGCCATAGTCGTAAGGCCACATGCTCAACATACTCGGTAAGCACCGACCAGTCAATGGGTCTTCCAAGGAATCCTCCATCTGTATGCACAGAGGGCTCAATCGAAGGAGCCATAACCTCCGTGTTAGCAATAACCAATGGGATCGACTCAGGAACAACAACATCTGGATGGACCACCCGAGCAAGCTCCACCTCAACAAACTCCTCATCAATTGGATCAACAACCAGCTCAATAATTGTATCAACAATTGGATGATCCATAGGAACATCTGACACCACGTTATATGTAGGTTGATCTACTGATCGAACCGGTCGGTGTCAAGTGGCACAAGGTGCTCAGAAATGACCCCGCCCAACTAACTACTTCTTGTGTGAATCGGTTGGGGCCACTCGTCCTGTCCGTAGCTGAGAAGACTCAACATCAACACCCCTGACATCCCTATTCTGATCTGCCGCTCGATCAACAGTTGTCGATGCAATAATGCGTCTCTGCCTATGGATTTCACTACAAAAGAAGGGGAAAAAATCAATATTGCAAAAAAAATGGCAACTATCAAAAATTTTAAAATTTTCGGTACAAAAACCAAGGGGTATACCGGAAATTTCAAAATTTTTGGTACAAAACCAGGTTTTTATAACTGGCAGAAATTATGAAATTTATGGTATTAACATTGAATTATGTACCGGAAATTTCAAAATTTTCGATACAAAATACCGAAAATTTTGAAATTTTCAGTGAAAAACTCATTCTTTTCGTAATTTCCGGTAGTTCACTCGAAATTTCCGGTATCACTCCAAGGATTTCAAATTTTCGCCCCAAGTCTGTAAATTTTAAATTTTTTGGAAATACTTTTACAAGGTCAGTGTTGTCTTTTCATACACTTTAGGGGGGTGCGAGGTATAACTGAGAGGTGTCAGGTTAAATTCTCATGTTATTTGAACATCACTTTAGTTGTCGAACATTGTATTTTTATAGGATATTGTATATGGTAATCGGTTTTTTATTATTTTATTCTCTGTTCTATTTTCACATTAATAGTTATAAATGATGTACTTTTATATGGTGTTGAGATAGAATGTTAATATTTGGGTGTTCAAATAAAAATATTTAATATTAAATATGTAAGAGATAACATGACACATTTTGGATATCAGATCTATGATTAGGTTCGATAAAGGAGCAAGAATGAGAGAGCAAGAAAGAGACTTTGATATTAAATATAACTAAAATCTTGAAGACAATTGATGTATGAGTTCTTTCTTTTATATATCAAACATTTTTCAACTTCTAGTGGACGTGAGATTTAATCACCTAATCTATTACAAGTCTCCTTAGTCGATTAGGAGACATTACAAAATATTTTAATCGACAAGAAGAAAAGCTTAATTAATTAGCCAAAATAGTTTTCCTTTTTAATTGATCAAACAAGTTTCTTAGTCGTTTAAGAACTTGCTTAGATTGTTTTTTATAAGTTTTATTCAAAATATGAGAGATTTGAAATACTTTTTGTGTCGCATTTTCTTTGTACCTCAATACCTACTTTTCCTAAATCTACAATTAACTAATCAAAAATAGGATAAAACATTAAGCGTTGGGTCAGACGAGATTTCATAACTTCAAGTTCACATGTTCATATCTTCAAGTTCTTTTGCTTGATTAAACTTTGTTTAGAACTTGATTCACTAAAAAAACACTAAATAATAGATGTTATTTAGTGGAATTTATTGATGAGACTTTATATATATTTTTTATTATTCACTTGTCATCCTTAAAATCACTAAAAGACATTACCTCCGTATCAAATAGAACCACATATTAGACCGTACATCTTTTTATTTTTATTTTTTATATCTAAATAGTAGATGTGAGAATAAATTGACGAAAGAAGAAACAGTCTTCTTTCATTTTTTTATTTAAAAGTCGTGCATGATGAATGTCTAATGCACAACATTAAATGAGAGAAATAAGTGAGAAATTCTCTTTTCGACCCTGAACCTCTCATTCTTGTTTCTTTTTCTGTTAGTTTGAAAGCAACTGCTTCAACTTGGACATATAGAAAGAGAAGAAATATCAAAAATTTCGTATATCACTTTTGATAAAAATAAAAATCCAATTTATTTTGTACCTTAAATTTTGATCAATAAAAAAATGGACCAATATATAATGGAAAAAATAAGAAGAAAAAAAGTTTTAAAAAATCTAGAGTATCCCGAAACAAACAAATTCAAACTTGATTGAGAAAGATCTTTTTTAGATCTCGAAGTATTAAGTACAAAATAATTAATCAAAAAAAATTATTCTTATGATTATAAGACACGATTGAATCCACATATGTTTGAAAAAAAATAATAATCTTTTCCTTCAAGAATAATATAAAAGGAAAATATTCAATTGAAACATGAAAAGATGACTATGTAAAATAATTCTCGTACATGTCAATCATGAATTAATAATTGGGTTGAATAAAAAAAATCGCAACTTATGTATGAATTCATAGTTTATCACACAATAACACTTAGGCTAAATTTGTCATTTTCTCATTGAATACACAAGTTAGTTAGAGTATACTAACTAACTTGGTGGTCAAGATAGTTAAAGTTGTTAAGGTAGTTATAGTTTGTTAGAGCATGTGATTGTATACTTGTACATGCAATATAACTATGATAGAGATCATGTAATCCTATAAAATCTAAAGTGTATGTTCATATTCAATAATGACACAAATGTTGTTGATGGGGTCCTTACCGTAAATAAAAAAGTCTATTCATTAGTTTCTGAAGAAGAGAGCAACATTATCCCTACGACTTCCATTAATGAATCTAACATATTAGTTCATGATTATGATCCAAAAAAAAAAGGCTATGGTCATGGTAAAGGTTTCAATCATAGAGGTAGGGGAAGTGATAATTAGATGGATTACATTCACTGTAATAGATATGGACACACTATTTAGTTTTGTTATTAGAAACACTGTCATCCTCATGTGAACAAGCCTATTGCTATAGTACAAATAAAAAGTACAATTTTTATCGTATTCACAGAGACTAGTTGTGTTTCAAAGACCGTTTAAAAATTTCTATTACTTTAAGCTTGGTTTATTAAAAGATTGATTATTTGGTGACTGCTAGAAAAGTAAAATAATAGAACATAAACTTTTAGTGTTTCAACAATGAGAAAACTTTGTTGGGCTTAGACTTCATTGACCTGTTCTTATGTAGAATTCTAAACTAGTAATATGAAATTATAATAAGCTATTAATATTATCGTCGAAGGCTCTCATTGTAGCTAATGTTTAAGTCAATGACGTGAGATCAATTGTATTATCTAATAGATGATCTCTTATCCTATTAACCAATTCGTCAGCATTAAGTTTCGCTATTACATGCATATATTAATGTCCACCTTT